ATCAGCCCCTGCCGTTTTTCTATTCTTGAGTTTCGCTACGCAGTCCTCTACCTCTTCTCGTGTGAACTCTCCCTGCAACCCGTCTACATCACTACGTTCCCTCCGAGATCTTTCAACGTTTTCCTCTGCCCACGAGTTGATTTCCTTCTCAAACTCCGAGTCGAAGTTGTCGTTGGTGGTGGGTGTCCCAAGTTTGCGGTAGTGCTCTACTAGTACTTCCCTCTTTCCTTTAGAACTGCTTACCATCTTACCCTCGGCAGATCTTAGTGTCGTTATTTCCGTGTCTCCCCCTCTCTTCTTGCCCACTATCCCTTGAATTCCTACCCACATTTGCTTCATCCCCCCCTCAAAATCTTCGTTAGTCTTTTGGACTACTTCCTCCCACAACCCTTTCTTCTTGTTCACGACCAACTCCTTCACCCTCTTTCTACTTTCAACATACTCCTTCCATCCTGCATCTGTTTTCCCTGCCGCATATTTTGCGTGTGACTCTCTACGTACTCGAATTGCCTGCTTGATTTCTTCGTCCCACCACTTCACTGCTCTCGTACAGACTATCAACTTTCTACCTAGCACTCTACTTGCTGTTGTGTTTACCAGCTCTTCCCACCCTTCTATGATTCTGGACCCGGCCTGGTCCCGGCCTTCGGCATCCTTCGGTGTGCCCATTGCCTCTATCAACTCCGAGAGTTTCTTGTCGTTTATAGCCATCTCTTCTTGGAACTCTACCCTCGTTTCTTCTACTTCTAGCTTATCTATTCTCCATCTGTACATTTTCCTGCGTCGCCTACTCTGTATGACTCTCGTCTGTTGTAGGGCTGTCCACACCAACGCGTGGTCTGTAGTGCCTACATCCGTTGTGCATACTCGTACTTCCGTCTCTTTCCCCCCATTCTCTACGACTATATAGTCAAGGATGGAGCGTTCTCCTTTTTTGAAACATTGCCTAGTCCATTCCGGTTCTGTCTTTTGTACTCTACCGTTCAACACCTTCATCTCGTTTACTGTCAAGAAACCTCAGCATTTCTTCCCCGTTTTTGTTCGTGGCTCCCTCCCCGTATTGCCCTATGGCTCCATGTGGGTTCGTGGTTCGCCCGATTCTTGAATTGAAGTCCCCAACTAGAACTACTTCTCCCTTTCTCTTGAAGTTTTGTATATCCGCTGCTAAATTACCTCCTCGAACCCTATCCTGATGTCCTTCACCATATTCTTCGACTCTGGTGGCATATATACATTTCCTACGAACAAGTCCTTCCTTCCCCGTTCCCCTGGTACCCTTATCCACATGCTTTCGTTGAATTTGGTGT